TTTTGTAAGTTGTGTGTCTTAGCATTATCTAAAGAGGACATTTTTTTAGATGGAACGCATTACAGGAGATTTGTTTTTTAATTTTGTCATTAATTTTCCTACTTTTAGTCCGATATATTTGAATTTGTATATTTCCCCACAGATAATCCTCCCAAAAAAAAATAAGACATTGCTAAATAAAATTTGCTAAATGGACGAATTTAATAAATCTCTTCAAAATGACTCCATGAAAAAAATTCATAGTTTTCTTTTTTTAGATACCGAAAAAATTCTCTTTATTCAAGCGTCAAGTTCTTTGTATGCAAGTTTTTTTTTTCTTTCGTTATTTTCAATCATTGGAAATATCTACACAGTAAATATAATGCGGCCATTTTGGAAAACGACAAAACAATTAAGAGATATTTCAAATGGAAATAAAATGAAAATCAAGATTATGAATTCGATCAACAAAAGAAACGTAATGCGGTCAAACACCAAACTTTACTGAACTCCGAGGACTAAAATAAACTCAGGAGTTACCTAACGCTCGCATTTCAGTTCAACCCTCATTCTACTTTATATAAATGATCTGCCTAAGAGTATACTCCGATAATTTGTGAATTTCTGCTTGTGATACAACTGTATCTGTGTCCATCTCCAAAACCCAAGTAACGATAAACTAGTGGGTGTCCATCATTACCGAGGGGAACATGAATCTTTGCCTATAGCGATGAACAAATATTCTCTCAGGGAAGTTCCGTGCCGTGAGCTCCTTTTGCATTGAGCTCAACCGAAACATCTCAGTTGAAATTTGTAGATATGATTCATCGCTATGAATGCTGGAAAAACGTTGGATTCCTGTAATGTTCCAGTAAGGACTTGATTTCTCCAGATGTCTTCTATTTTTAGAAGACCGACATCAGGTGGAAAATTGAGTACTACTGCCATAGATGGATACGGGCTGCTTAGTCTTCATTTTTAATCTCGAGACCGACAGTGGCTTTTTTGTCCTTGTGATTGATGAATTATTTTACACCCAACAACACTGTATCCGCAGAATAAATCGTCGCAAGCTTCTTAGTGTTCTATCGTTTTTTTTATTGGAAAGTGTTCAGCCGAAATACATCCTTTCGTCGCACAAAGTCTAATCTTCCCAGCTATGGCCATGGCACGTACATTATAGCGAACCATCCTTTTACCTTTCTATTCCATTGAAGAGCTAAGTTCTATTCGAGCAGTTTCTTGTCACGAATATCTGTTTTGTGATACCGACTCCCAAAAGAATATTTCCCCTACCACTACAGTCATAATCTGTTCACGTTTATCGTTAACATTTATCTTTCTCACATATGCCCATAAACTGTACCTCTTACTCTGTAACCTTCTGTCTAGAGTGGTACTTACGCTTTGTACAGACTGAACATCATTGTATAAAACGTTATTGTATATCACCAGTTTAAGCAAATTGTAGTATAAATTTCATTTCTACATACGAGTGTGGCCTGAGGAGTTCATAGGCTGACACTTAAGGAGTGATGCTAAAGATGTAAAATCTTGTATGAATTAATTTCGATTCTTCTTATTAATAACTTCATTGTTTATTTCCAAGTTAACAGACACCTGTTTAAAAAGACGTCAAATGTAACTTGTAACGACTTCTCTTGAAAATGGACATTTTGCATCATGGTTTTACAAAGCAACTGCATAATGATACCGTAATTCCCCATGTATAATACGCCTCCAGTCATTATATGCACACCTAAAATTATTCTGAAAGTGTAGAAAAATGCTTCTACTCATGCATAATACCCCCCTCTTGTCTGGTAATCAAACTCTATAAATTGTACCTCTCCAATTTCATTACAACCAGCGTTTCCTACTCTTATTTTGAAAAAAAAAATGGTTTTAAACATAGAATAATATTATTCTAATTTGGTTGTAATATAATTCTCATTTTATTTTACTGCAATTTTTAAAAGTTTTTTGAGGCTGTGTATAATACGGACCCCTGATTTTGCTTATTATTTTTTTTAGAAAAAAATGCGCATTATACATGTGGAATTACGGTAATACGTAAACAGAGTATACAAAGTCGTCCGTTGTTTTACCGATTATACCAGCGGACGTTTTCTTTTACTCACAAAACAATAAGCAGAACTTAGTTAATCAGTGATATATTTTTTAATGATATCAACTATGAAAAATTTGGTTACTGATATCAACGAAAGGATAAAATCGCTTGTTCTCACTTATTAAAAATAGTGATAATGCCAAACACGTTCTACACCCTTGTACAGATTAATTGAAACAACCACTTTAGCTTTCTTTCTTTAACCATGCCTCGGATTTAAACCCACTGAAGTGACATGGTGTAATCGATTACTTTTATTTTATTCTCAGATTAGGTTATTTGCAGGGATGTGCAGTAATATGAATCTATTTCGAGGTGTATGAATTTGTTTGGCCTTGAAAAATATTGCGTCATCCGTGATTGCATCAGATTTTGATCACGCCCAGACAATATTGTCTTGACTGTCGATTAATTGTCCTAAGACCATTGTATGCGATGGACATTACGCCATTTAAGCGTAAGAATATTTAAACGCTGTACAAACTCACTGGCAAGTGATACCAGTGAGCAAATCAAAGTACTATAGACTGGCCCTGAAATCGAACCGATAATCTGTGCAAAGAACAACTCCGTGGAATGGACATATAAAGTACTAACATATGCAGTGGGTCATATTTCATTAAAAAAATATTAAAAAAATGTAAATAATAACGGAATTCGTTTTGTTTCAATTCATTTGCACATGGGTGTATTACAAATCTATTTTGCAGATATAATGTCGCCATTACATACTCTCCTGTGTTTTTAACTGAGCTGATGAGGACACGTTTACACATTAAGAAAGCAAGGATTATTCGCCGTATTGTAGTTGATTGCATAAACCTCCAATCGCAGCTGCTAGCAAGACAATTAAATATGTATACAACTGACATACACATTGATGTGTATTTAGCTCGTGAATAATGTCCCTAGTTCATAATATATATATATATATATATATATATATATATATATCTTCCAGCTATGGGTAATATATCAGGACAGACTGGGTTCTATAGCCTTGGATGGCAACTGGTCTAGGAGAAGGACAACTCTGAATTCAAAACCTGAGGAGGGTTATTTGGGAACCTAGTGGAATTCGGTGCACCAGGTCTCTGTATTCGTCCCCAATACGAGGCCTTCACCACTATAATCAAATCTCATGTGCCGGTGTCGGGCTGTCGGTTTCCTGAAACTGATCTGCTTGACCCTCATACGTCGAATCTCGTTGGGAGAGTCGATTTATATATATATATATATATATATATATATATATATATATATATATATATATAAAATTAATACTTTATTGTTGTGTTGAACCTGGAACTCGTTTACTCAGATATTTAAACATATCCGCACTTGCATATGGATAAAAAAAATAGTAGATTTTTTTTCTTTTCTAAAACGTCTTGCAGAAAATATATTTTATTTTACTATTCGGAATAGTATGAATATCTTTGTTGCTACATTTACAACGATCCTAGTTGTGTTCGTAATGGGTAATGCCAAAAAGAGCTAGTTGAAATTTCTAATGTGGCAAGAGGCCTTGAAAAATGAGATACTCACAAGTCAGATTGAAGAGAAGAGGAAACAGAACTTAACCTACATAATGTGCTTGTGTAAGAATTTGGCGGATGCTTCACGAGAGATTAAAAAATAAGATATTTATTAAGAAGAACGAAGAAAAAGAAATAGCAGCGAACCTTCCCCTAAAACGTTCTCAAGGGACAAGGCACATAGAAGAATTCTAATCGGTAACATTCTGAGATCCTGTGAGAACTAGAAGTACATACAAGGTTTATTATTGGTGAAAGGAAACTGCTGGCAAGACAGGGAGAACATAGGATTAAACATCGCTTATCGCAAGAGAGAATGAATTATTGACAGCAAGAGAAACAACCTATAATGCAAATTACCACTGAGGAAGCACAGTGGGGTAATAGATAGCGGCTTGGACTGAGGAAGCGTGTTCGATTTCCAGTCGAATCCATTACATTCACTTACGTGCTAATACCCTTGGGAAAGGTATGAATCCTCTTCTTCTTCCCCCAGATATGGGTAAATAACAGGACAAACCGGTTCTATGGCCTTGGTTGTCTACCGCAGAGAGAAATGCCAACCTACTGCGGGAAAAAAAATCTGCTTCGTCAGTCATTTATTGAAACATACATGATTTTCTACGCATGTATCACGCATAGCACATAACTGAATTGTTGATGCCAAAATCAAGTAAGTACGAATATTTAAATATTTTGGCGGTGTTTTAAGAGAGGACGGAAACCGGTAACATCAAAATATCCGAAACTGCATTAAAAAGTTGCCTTCTAAAATCTAAGTAGAGTATTAAGAATCAAGAAAAATTAATCAGAAACAAAGACAAGAGTGCTGGATGTAATGTCAGTCCTCCTATATGTCAGTGAATGCTGGCAATATTCTTGCGGCAACAGAAAGTGATTCTCCAGAAGTTTGTGGATAGAAACATGGACTGTTGAAAATTCTAGGATAAGTCATGAAGCAATAGGTTTTGGGAAATTTGACACTCACAGAACATTTGAATCTACAAGGGATGACGTAAAGCGTCGAGTAATCCATCCAATGAACTTATGGAAATGGATGGTTGAAGAACTAACTAAAAGCTACAAGGAATCGGAATCTGTGGAAAACTTAAATATCTTCGTCATGAAGAGATACGGCGTATAGAAAAAGAAGGAAGGAGCCAAAAACAGAAGGATAGAAATAATGGAAGAATTAAAGAATGGAGGAATAGAAGAAAAACCGAACGGATCGAAAGATAGAAGGATCGAAACAAAGGAATAATAAAAGAATGAGAGAATAAATGAATGAAAAAATAAAGGAACGGGGCAAAAAAAAAAAATAAAGAAAAAAAAACAAAAACAGAAGGACACACGCAGTGGAATAATTAAAAAACGGAAGAAAAGAAGAATCGAAGAATGTGGGGAAGGTAGAAGGGAGGGACAATGGAATAATAAAAGAACAGGGGAATAAACGAATGGAGCGAACAAAAAAAAAAAAACTGAAGGCCAGAAAAAGTGGAATAAATAATGAATGGAAGAATAGAAGAATAAAAGAATACATGAACGGTGAGAAAGATAGAAGTCCCGAAACAATGGACTAATAAAAGAATGAAGGATAAATGAATGGAAATTTAAACGAACGTAGCGAAAAACCAGAAGGCCAGAAAAAGTGGAATAAATAATGAATGGAAGAATAGAAGAATGAAAGAATACTTGAAGGGTGAGAAAGATAGAAGTCCCGAAACAATGGAAAAATAAGCGACAAAAATGTTAACAGAATGCTAATTTTAGAAAATGATGAAGAAAACAATGGTTGAATATAAGGAAAAATTAAATGTCAAAATTGTACAATCACAGAATGAAAGTATAAAATAATGAGAGATTAAATGAACGGGATGATGATGGAGTGCAAGAATAAAATAAAGGAAGATCGCTTGAGTGAGAAACCAGATGAATGGCATAATAGAAGAAAAGAGAGAGAGAATAAAAGAAGAGGAAAGATAACAGATCAGAAAAGTTCAAGTCGGATAAAGATAAGAACGGACGAACACCAAAATAGAAAATAAACAAACACTGAAGAATGTAGGAATGTAATAACTAAATACCTGATGAATATAAAAAAAGGAATAAACGATTGGAAGAATAAAAAAAAAACGAACGCGTAAAAAAACGTCAGAATAAATAATGAACGAATAAAAGTGTGGTAATAAAATCCCGTTTGTAACCATCCACTATAATGAGATAAAATTTTTCAGTGCGAAATCTGAATTAGTCAAATAACGATTCATAATATTCTAGAGTTGTTGCTATATTACAAAAAGAATGCAGTGAACGGGTGAATAAAAAAATGTAAGTATAATAGAATATATGAATAAAAGAATGTAAGTATATGAGAACATATGAATAAAAGAATGGATGTTAAAAAAAGAGCGGTTGAATAAACGAATAGAAGTGAAAGAGAATTCATGAATAAAAGAATACATGTATAAAAGAAAGGATGAATGAAGACAAAAGAATGAAAAAAAAGCGAATGATAAATGTTGGGACGATGAAGAAAATAAAGAAAATGAAGAACGTGAGGTTAAAAAGAAAAACATACGCATATAAACGAGAAACTATAGAAATGAAGATTAAAAGAATAAATGAATATAAGAATATAAGAATAATAGCATCGAAAGATGAGAAAATGTAAAGAAATAATGAACAAAAGTATACAAAAGGAGAAACAAAATATATATGAAAGAAAATGGCATTGTAGAAGGATTGGTAAAAGAACTAAATAATAAATAAACGACAAAATAATACAAAGTTACAAAAGATAGGAAATAATACAAGAATGGAATAATGAAGGACCAAAAACAAAGAACGGTTTTGCGAATGGGCAGAGAAAATAAAAGAATAAAAAAAATGTGGCAAAAAAAAAATACAGTACCCAGATTGAGCATCGTTGTCGGAATGAAGAGAATAATCAAAACTGCTGTATTTAATGTAAACTCTTTTCTTGGGTAACTCGAGCCATCGGTGTTTTCTAGCATTATTGTGTGAGAACAAGACGAATATACGACTGACGAAGGATGAGTAAATTTTCTTCAAACATTTGTCATTTGTGCAATGCTTGCAACTGATAACATTTCTCTTCCGTCTATTACTTCTTCTGTGTGCCGTGTCCTTTCAGAATGTCGGCGATCGTAGCGATCTACACCTGTCTAACCATGAAAATTTTGGCAAAGTTACTCCTACACTTCGTCCGTCATCCGTTCGAAATGTTGGAATAGCAACAACAATGATGAGGACAATAGTTCACCTCTAAATATCAGAACGAATAATGTTCGCAGAAATCCCGATATAATCTCAAATGCATTTACTATTTGACAACCGCATTTAATAAAGTATTTGGTAAAATGCTTTCTATCTGAATTATTTATCATTTACACTATTTGTATTCGGACTATTGTCCTCCTCTATGTTGTTGTTACCACAAACCTTCGGCAGTTGTGCCCTTCGGCCTTCCGCAGGTGTACACCGATCTGGGTAAAGAATTCTGTTCTCGTTCCACTGCTCATATTTCGGTCTTATTTATTTAGTTCTGCTCAGTTATTGCTCGTCCATATTCACTAAGTGTAATTACGCACTGCTCGACCCAAGGATTTGAATCTACAATCCCTATATCAGCAAATTCGCAAACGCTTTAAACGATTAGGCTATTGTACTGAACAAAATAAAAATAAGAACTAGACGAGATATCCGAGACAGGAGCAGAAGAACGAGGACACACTAAACCCGTACATGAAACAAGGGGTTCAGTTCAACATTCCCTGTAAGTTAACGAGATCGATATACACCGGAGGAAGACCGGGGACATAACAGGCAAAATGTTGTATAACAACAATAAAAACAATAGATTTTGTAAATAATGATTATTATGGTTTATCGAGAATTTTCACTATGAAAAAACTTTAAGAAGCAAATCATTTTATTTGCAAAAAAATCGTTACTACTATAATATGGATACCTGGTATCTTATTTCTACTACGGTATGATATTTACCGTTCATTTTCTACAATAGTATTATATTTACTGTCTATTCCCTACTATAGTATGATATCTACTCTCCATTTTCTACTATATAAATTTCTCCATTATGAATAGAAATTAAATAATTACCCCACTCTTTAGGTTAAAATAAACTGTATATAGTTTAAAGAATTAATTGCTGTAAGTTATAAATGGTTTTTTATCTACAGTGTATCGTCATTTACGATAGGAAACAAATGGCTTGGCAGATATCCTATTATAGTAGCAAAAAACAGTTTTTATACACAAGAAAAGTTCATTTCAAATTTATTTACTATAGAGAAATCATCAAAGGTATTTTACATTTTTAGTCAATTTCAAAACATTTGTTTTGTATGTCCCAAGCGTTTTATAAAAATAATTAAATTTTTATTTATATAATGTATTTTTAAGTAATATTTTGAAATTCTTATTGACATCATCTTCATCTGTAAAATAGATAATTTTATAATTATTTTAGTGAAATTTAAAATGAATTACTTAAACACTACATTGCAATTCCGTTCATGATGTAAATCTCTGTGAACAAGATTTTCTTGTAATAAAATGGTTAATTCTTCTACATAATCAGAAGAAAAATTATTTTGAAAATAATATAGATGTGCATTTATTTATCTTTCAATCAGTTCGTAATATTTTCAGTGTAGTTAATGCAAGAATGATGAAAATGTAAAGCAGAAATAATTACAATTCGTCGCACTCCAAGGTAATAATCCAATCAACAACAGCGTAATAATTTTTGAATAATTATTTAAAAAAAAATAGTTGCATGCAGTATTTTCCCAATATCATTGTATTTTATCATTGTGTTTTTCCCAATATCATTGTGTTTATTAAATAACATTAAGCTTTTAAAAGCTTAAAAGTCCCAGTGTGGTTCACCTTTTCCAGTGAATAAAGAAAAGTTTTGAAATATGAAATTATCAACCGAAACTATAAAGTTTCTGTTTTTTTTTTTTTTTTTTTTGTTACAGAAAATAAACCTAGAATATCAATGAAACAAATTTGAAATTCTTTAAAGGTGAACTATTTTATTTTTTACAAATTTCAGACTATAGCAACAGTATCAATATTTTAATTTTCAACTGACACCTATTTACGTATATCTAGAATCTAATTATAAAGTGTAAGAGTGGAATATGAAATTTTCACTGAAATATTTTGGAAGTTTTTCAAGTTTTCATTTGATATCAAGACAATAAAATCTTAAAGCAAAATGACCAGAATATTTGAAAAATAAAAAAAAAATTGTCAGTTTAAACTAATGCCAGGACGATATGTATTAATATGCGTGCAGCTCTGCATGTAGCGCTTGTGTATGCTATTTAATCTTCCACACTTTGGACGCTACTGTCATCCATTTGACCAGACTTTTTTTTTCTTTCCATATACTCGTATTTAAATTATAATTATAAATTATAATTATGGAAATAAAATTTCAACTTACATCCGTCTAAATCGGCGAGAAAAAATAAAAGGACAAGAGCGAAAACTATTCTTCAGCAACGCGTTTCGTCCTCGGAGTGATTTTAACCAGGCAAGTCTCCCTCAGAGGACGAAACGCGTTGGTGAAGAATAGTTTTTATTCGTGTTTTTTTTTAAAAAAAATCATTTTGTTCTTTTTCAGACACACTGTATTCTAAAATAAGTTGCATACACAAAATATATGCTATTATTATTAATAATATTATTATCATTATTATTATTATTATTATTATTATTTTCATTATAATTATTGATATATTATTATTATTATTATTATTATTTATTTTTTCGTGATAATTATTGATATATTATTATTGTTATTGTTATTATTATTATTTTCGTTATAATTACTGATATATATTATTGTTTTTGTGACGTACGATGGCCGTTAATAATTAAGTATAACACAAGGTATCAATCTTAAGATAAAATAAATATATGACGGAATAAATGAAACACTTTTTGGGAAGAGCAACTTATGACTACATTCCGTTGAAACATCGGGTCCCGTACGATAACTGGAATTAAGCAACATCGAGCCCGGTCAGCACCTGGATGGGTGATCGCTATGCAATACCAAGTAGTTTCTTTGAATTGTTTAATGAATACTGGAACGGAATTGTTAATCGGAGAGTTGAATTTTATTTCCAATCGGGTTCGTTATATTCCAGCTATGCAGACATAACGTTGCGAAAGGTATGAATCGATTCTTCTCCCCTCCCTTCTATGGATTAAATAAACCATAATTAAGACGTGTTTTGTTAAAACATTACAAAAAAATATAAATTCTTACAATTTAACAATATTTTCTTGCTTTCGGGAACCTAGAAACGGTTGATAAGTCGTAGGAAATGAATCAGTCAATCATATTATGTGAACATTGCTCGAAAATATTTATTCAGAAACAATTATACGAAAAACATTTATTTGAAGTCTAAATTGTTTAAATGAAGAATTAATCGAAAGGACAATGAGACTACGTGATAATTATACGAAATTCAAAATTCTTTATTGCAAAATAAATGCAAAAATTAAAGAAGAAAATGATAATTATTTGAGTTAAAAATATCATTAATGAAACAATTTAGTAAGAATAAATCCCTATAAACTTAAGTTATTTGATACTACACAGCAATAGTCAACTACTAAAGAGTACATTATTTACATTATATATTGATAATTAATAATTATTTACATTATATATTAATAATTAATAATTATATTATTACATTATTCGGACTATTATCCTCATCGTTCTCGACATATTTATTACAACGTTTCGTCCGTTGTACGCTCCGGCCTTCTTCAGGTGATTGGAATGTCGAACTGAACCCTTTATTTCGCTCACTGGGTTAGACTGTTTTAGTTCCACGTAACATGTTTAATGGATGTCAGTTTTCAGTTATCTCCTGTTGATACCCCTCTGAAAGTTCTCTACTGCCTTAATGTTGAAACTTGAATAAAGCATGGAATAATAATAATACAACACAAAATGTACTTAAACAAAATGTATTGACACAAGAACGTGTACACACTATTTACAGATAGTTTTGGTATATTCTCGGGAAGACCGTTCCTGTAGAATGGGTTGACATTAGTCGCAGTCGGGCAGAGTCTCACCCGTCTTCCCGGTACGAACCATATTTATATGATCGGTACTCCACTATGTAAATTAGGTTGATCGTACCACAACACTTAACCGGATATTGAACTCACACTCTTTGGATAATGTCACTGAATCTAACCAACGCTTTTCTCCACTGTGCCATGTTTCTTTTATTCACTATGTCATCTGTCCTTGAGGACACATGGCACAGTGGATAAAGGCGTTGGTTAGATCCAGTAACAGGACCCAAAGAGTGTGAGATCAATACCCGATTAAGGCAGTGGAGAACGTTCACAGGGAAATTAACAGGAGATAACTAATAACTGTCACATGACACGTGGAAATAGAACAGTCTACCTCAGTGAGCGAAATAAAGGGTTAAGTTCGACATTCCAACCACCAATAGTCCGAATAATGTAAATGATCTACATAATACAT